TCGCTCAATATGGCTTGTAGCTCGTCGCTCCTACATGACCCTTTTTTCTGCGGATTTCGAACGATTTTGCTGCTGATTGCATACAGCCCAATGAATGGGGCCTACTAGATGTCAGCTGAACAACTTCTGGGTTTAGACCTAGAGAAGGTTTTTTTGTTGTCTATTTTCTATGAGGGTTTGCTCACACCAGCCCTGTTGGGTTGCTCCGGGATGCGTGTCCAATGCATAGACAAGGCAGCCTTCTATATGCCCTCTCTTGGTTCTGTTTAAACCCTCATGTTGTGTTCTGAAATAAGTGCGATATTGCATTTTTGTGCAGTATGTAGTGAAGAGCTATAACACATTACAATGTGCTGCCACACATAGAGTTAGATGGACTGTCAAGTTTAATAAAGTGAAGAAAAAATCAAGCGCTGTACAACGCATCACAGCGTGCATGCACAACATACACCAGGGGGGTGCATTATGCTCCTTATTGCGTGCCTGCTGGTGCGAGTTAACTCTCAGTGTTTAAAGTGATATTAAAGTCAAAAGGTTTCTAAGCTATTTGAAATGCTGATGAATCGCTTGGAATGGATGCGGCTCCTTAATGTTTAACAGTTTCATCTTGCTACAAAAATCATCTGGTCCCCTGAGCACTGGCCCTGATATCCTGTTTTAGGGTGGTGCTTTTTCCTTGCAGGGTCCTATTGAGCCACCCTTGTGTGTGCTAGTAAGCTGTGTGTGTCTCCACAGACACAGCAAGACAAGACACTGCCTTGCTCTTCACTTCTCCAAGCTAGTAGATTGACAGATGCTGGAGATTGCTCTGTCCCTTGTGATCTTGTATTAGACAGGAAGTTCAGGTAAGCAGAACAGAGAGTTGGAGTCAACTGTTTGGAAACATGACGACTAGCTAACTATCCATTCCACCTGTGATTCCAGCAGCAAGTATCCGCTGATTTCTTGCCCTTGCCTGGACCCTATAAGGTGTGTGACAGACCTTTCTTTCTCTAAGGCCCCTTTCCCACGGGCTTTCCGATCAGGTCCGCCTGTCAGATCAGAAGCCCAATGTTAGTCTATGGGCAGCTGGATCAAATGGGTCAGACGTACATTTACATTTGGTTACCCCTGGCTCCAGTCAGATCTGGTAAACAAACAGATCAGTGTACCGTTTTGCCAGTCCTGATCATGCTGGATCGAAGTAATGCGTTTACATTAGGTTCCCCATAGACTAACGTGCGTTCGGTCATTTCAGGCTTTTCCTCCATTGCAAGAAAGAGGGGAAAGACTGGGCGGACACGGATGTCACAATGGTAACGTCCATTGCGATCAGCAGGGAATCGAAGGAGCACAGTTGGGCGATGGGGGACAGTGTGTTATCACCGTAAAACAGGAAATGCAGGGACAGGGACCACCTTGGCACAATCACTAGGGCTGCAGCTAATGATTATTTTTATAATTGATTAGTTGGCCGATTTATTTTTTCAATTCATCATATTAAAAAATAAATAAATAAAAACAATCCTTAATATAAAATAAACAAATGCCGTGTTACAAACATAAAGTTCACTTCAGAATAAAACGGCATGCTCAATTGTTTGCCTTGCTGTACCCTGCGTTCCAGTGCGGGCGGTCACACTGTGGGTGGGACGTATGTTTGGGATGCCATTTAAATAAAAGGCACTGCAACGCACCTCCCACAGCAGAATTTGTCAGACTGAAACCAAAAATGACTTTTTTCCCCTCCTTTTTTTTATAATTTTTTTTAAATAATTGTATTGTAAGCACACGGCGCTTGAATAGCTTTAGCCCGGGAATGGCAGCTGCCAAGTGACAAGATTGCGCAGACGATAGCCAAACGTAAATACAGCAGGTAGTGGGCGGCTGCAATAGCCAGCCTGCTATTGGCAATTTCAAATTGCAATAGCAGGCTGGCTATTGCACCTGCCCACTGAGTGCTGTGCCCTCTTCCCAGCGTGAAGGTGAGCAAGGGGATCCAACCAACTAATCAATAATGAGAATCGTTGACAACTATTCTCATTATCGATTAATCGATTTGTTGGTTGCAGCTCTGACGATCTCCTTTTATTTTATGAAAGCTGCAGATTCAAAAAGTTTGAAACGTCTTTTAAAATGACATGAACATTAAAAACTTTTATTCGATTTTAGTGATGGGGTTTAGGTCTTTATTGTAACATTGCTTTCAGATTTAGTGATGGCATTGTGAAGGTACCACTCTGTTGTGAAATCTATAATAAGGCATGATGGAAGCGAAACTTGCTGAGCTGTGCCTGTGCAGACGGGCTGCATGCCCCCAAACAGTGTCCTGTCTGCATGAAAACCAAAAAAAAGCCTCAAACTTCCCGGCTGGTTAGAATGATCTGTTCTGTGGGGAATGGCCAGTGAACCCAGAACACAAGTTTACATAAACCTATCATTTATCTAAATGTTTGTACAGATGGTCGGAGCCTTCCACTATTGGAGATATTTAAGAGCAAGCGATGTTCAAGTCACATTATTTTTCAGCTGATTACAAATGCTGATGAAAATTACTTACAATGGATGATGCTTCTTGATGTTTAAAAGTTTTAATTTCCTGCAGAATAAGCTGGTCCCCCCGAGCACTGGTCCTGACTTCCTGTTTTAGGGGGACTCCTTTCACTTGCATGGTCCTATGGAGCCACCCTTGTGTGTGTTAGTAAGCTGTGTGTGTCTCACAAACACACAGGCACAGCAAGGCAAGACACACTCCTGCTCTCTGATCCCCGCTCCTCCCTACTTTCTCTTCTCCAAGCTAGCAGATGGATGGCTGACAGAGACCGTGTCATCCCTTGTGATCTTGTACTGGACAGGACGTTCAGGGAAGCCAAACTGAGAAATTTGGAGCTGTTTAGAAACATGATGACTGTGGGCAAACATATCAATACATACTTTGCTGTGCAGTGTATATTTGATCTGAAACCACAAGTTGAGAACTTAAAACTACTTTAACCTAAGCTATGGTGAAGAAGGTGTCTTTTTGTATTGGGGGCTCAAATAAAGCTGCATCACTCACCTCATCCTCGGTCCACCCGGCTTTTTTGAGCTTTTAGACTGGTCTCCTCAGCCTCCTTTTCCCCTGGGCTCTGGTGGTCTAAGGACCACTGACATCTCTTTTGTAGTCCATTGACTACTTGCATTAGACGTGAGGACGCCGAGAGACATTCCACAGCTGGAGCAGAGGGGAAGAGGTGACTGCTGACGTCACGTTTTTATAGCTTGAGTTATTGAGGTTTGTAAACATCAGAACGGCCGTCTGTGCACGATGAGGCAGAGAACAAACATGAAAGGAATGCGGCACCGTCCCAGCTGACTGAAAACTAATGTTCTTATGCAGTATTGTAGTGTGTATTAATTGATGAAATAATGTACATGACCCTTTTTTAAATAACACGTGGTACATGCACTGTGGTGCAATGAGTTGGGGTGCCATTCACAATAAGTAGCACAGTACAGGAGCATTGACGTGGGTTGTGGTGACGCTTGTTAACGTTTGTGTTTTAGCCCGTGTTGCCACAACACACAAATATGCGCAGACCCCCCGGGAAACCCATCATGGAGGACATACGGCTTCTATAGCCAACCTCCATTTGGAAATTCTAGTTGCCTGAATGCCTCTGGTTTCGGTGCTTTTTGAGCCATTGGTCTGGAACAAGTATGTAGCCAGGGAAGTAAAAACTCCTGTTTTGCATACTTGTCCCAGGAGTATAAGCCAGAGGATCAAGATGACACCCAGGAAGCTAGTATTGTCAGGAGGAGATTGGCAATAACTGCGCCTCAATTTCTATAGTGACAGGTCTATTGCACATGTCAGTGGTTTGCGTGTTCCATCTACATCCTCTCGTGTCACCTATAGAAACACAAAGCTTCCAGACTTGTAAATCCTTCTGTTTTATTGCCACTTTGTGTCCATAAACTGATTCAAGAAGCCGATTCTCTGACCTGTTTCATGTACTGATTGTGAATGTTCTTGGCTGTGAACAAAAACATTTTTAGCACATTGGTTCTGCATGCTTTAGTACTGCGACCCTTGAAAACACGTATTTTATGCGTTGTGGTGCTGCAGTGCCATTCATTCTCAAGGTCAAGCCAACGCACCTTTCCAATGGACTTGCGTTGTGTTAGGACAGACCATTGATTTGAATGGTCGACCTAACTCACCAAAAAACGTGCCTGTGCTCTGTTTGTAATTCAGCATGACACAACACGACACACTGCGTTTTGGTGCACTGCATTACAAACGAAGCACAGGCACCGTTTTGGTCAGTCAGGTCACCCATTCTAATGCATGGCCTGCTCTGACAATGCACGTCAACGTCACAACTAACGCACACCAGCACGCTTTTGTTTATGCACATCAGTGTGAACCAATCCCTATGCGCCACAACAGTGTGAGCCAATCCTTATTCACCTCAGCTGTGTGAGCCAATCCTTATTCACCACGACAGTGTGAGGCAATACTTCTTCAACATGACAGTGTGAGCCAATCCTTATTCAGCATGACAGTGTGAGCCAATCCTTATTCAGCATGACAGTGTGAGCCAATCCTTATTCAGCATGACAGTGTGAGCCAATCCTTGTTCAGGATGACAGTGTGAGCCAATCCTTGTTCAGCATGACAGTGTGAGCCAATCCTTGTTCAGCATGACAGTGTGAGCCAATCCTTGTTCAGCATGACCGTGTGAGCCAATCCTTGTTCAGCATGACAGTGTGAGCCAATCCTTGTTCAGCATGACCGTGTGAGCCAATCCTTGTTCAGCATGACAGTGTGAGCCAATCCTTGTTCAGCATGACAGTGTGAGCCAATCCTTGTTCAGCATGACCGTGTGAGCCAATCCTTGTTCAGCATGACCGTGTGAGCCAATCCTTGTTCAGCATGACCGTGTGAGCCAATCCTTGTTCAGCATGACCGTGTGAGCCAATCCTTGTTCTTAGTCCAACTGTTTTATCATATAAATGACTGGTTTTCTTTATTTTAGCATTTGAATACATTGTGGAATATGACTATGATGCGGTACATGAGGACGAGCTGTCTATACGGGTCGGGGACATCATCAAGAATGTGAAGAAGCTGGATGATGAGGGATGGCTGGAAGGAGACTTACACGGCAAGCGAGGAGCTTTTCCTGATAACTTTGTTAAGGTTTGTGTTATTTTTTTTCTTCTGATTGGCTGATAAGAATTTCCAGGCAGAATATGGAGGAAGCATTGTCCAGTATTTGTGTAGGGATTTCCAGGCGGAATATGGAGGAAGCATTGTCCAGTATTGGTGTAGGGATTTCCAGCAGGAATATGGAGGAAGCATTGTCCAGTATTGGTGTATGGACTTCCAGGCGGAATATGGAGGAAGCATTGTCCAGTATTGGTGTAGGGATTTCCAGCAGGAATATGGGATCAGTATTGGGAGGGCTTGGAAGGGGTATAGGAGACGTGGGAGGATGTTTTGCTTGATAATGTTGCATCGCCCGGTCCAGGAGAACGTGGAGCGAGACCACCCCTGGAGATCCGCCTTAACCTTTTGTAGTAGTGGGGGGAAATTAAGACTGTAGGCATCCGCCAGGTGTCAGGGTAGAAGGACCCCTAAGTACTTAATCGATGTGGAGGACCACTGATAGGGAAAGTTCCGTGAAAGTCGTGCCAACATGGGGGGTGGGACAGTCAGGTTCAGGGCCGTCGACTTCTGGGTTTTGATATTGTAGTTGGATAACTCACCGTGCCATCGCAATACTGCAAGTAAGTTGGGTATAGTGGTGAACAGTAGGTCGTCAGAGAATGCCACTAACTTGTGTATATTCCCCCCCACCGTCATGCCCTGGATGTCAGGGTGGGCTTTAATGGTCCGGAGCAGTGGTTCCAAGGTCAGGATAAAAATGAGTGGCGAGAGGGGGCAGCCCTGCCTGGTGCCGTTTGAGATCGGGAATGAGGCCGACAACGTGCCGTTTACACAGACCCTGGCCGTCGGGTGGGAGTACAAGGCCAAAATCCACGCGAGCATGCCCGGACCCATCCCCACATGTTCCAATGTAAGTTGAAGAAAGGACCAGTCGACCCTGTTTGAAAGCCTTCTCTGCGTCTGTGGACACAATTAAACTTTGGACAGATTTCGACAGGGCCGAGTGTATAACGTTGAGGGCCCGGGTGGTGTTGTCACTGGCCTCTCTGGAGGGAACGAACCCCGCCTGATCAGGGTGGACCAGGGAAGGAACGTGGGGGAGCACTCGCATGGACAGGACCTTGGCCAGTAATTTGATTTACACGTTCAGTAAGGATATCGGACGGTAGCTGGGGCATACCGTGGGGTCCTTGCCTGGCTTGGGGATCACTACTATATTGGCCAACAGTTGCCCCCTCTCGCACCAAATTCCATGCCGCCAACATGGGAGTGGTTAATATTTCCGGGAAGGTTTTATAATATAAGAGGGTGAACCCGTTTTGGTTTGTTTAATGGCTGCCTTCAGTTCCATGGATGAGATTGGGAATTCCAGATACGCGTATCTCGGGAGATAGAGTGGGCATGGCGGAAGTTTCCAGGTAGGTCCGAATGCGACGTTGTCGCCTTGTTAGAGCCTGGGTGTCCCGGGGGCGGGGGAGATTGTAGAGGTTAGAATAATAATCCCGGAAAGCCGTGACTGTCTTCCGAGAGATGGCACATCCTGCCAGAGGCCGACTTTATGGCTGGGACGTATGTGCGGGATCTTTGTTGCCTAAGGGCGTGCGCCAGGGAGCGGCTGCATTGGTTTCCATACTCGTAGAAGTGGCGACGGCACTTGGCCAGCGTAGCTTTCGCTCTGTCCATGTATAGGGAACGTAGGGAGTCACGTATGGAGCAGAGCTGGGCCAGAAGGGATGGGTCCTGGCGTTGTTTATGCCTGAGTTCTTTGCATGGATTTGTGCGAGGAGAGAGTGCTGCTGACCTAACCATTGTTTCTTGCGGGCCCCCAATTTAATCAGGGTGCCTCCTTATGTACGCTTTGTGTGCCTCCCATACGATGTAGGGCAAGCAGTCTGGAGTAGAGTTTAGTGCGATATAGGAGCGGAGGTTGCTTTCAATCTTAGGGACCAGCCCAGGGTCTTGTATGAGCGACTCATTGAGTCCCCATCTCCAGCTGCGAGGCTCCTGGGGGCCCAGCTCCAGCGATAGCAAAATTGGGGCGTGGTCCGAGTAAGTAATGTTACCTATCTCCGTATGGGAAATCCTAGAGAGGTTGCTGTGGTGTATCAGGAAGAAGTCAATACCGGGTATAGGTGTCGTGGACTGCCGAGTGGTAGGAATAGTCCCTAGTGTCAGGGTGGTGGATGCGCCAGATGTCGGACAGCTGGTGGGCATGAAGGCATTTTTTGAGGCGTCTGAACGCTGCAAAGGGCAGGTGGGAGGCCCGGTTAGTGGAGTCAGCTACAGGGTTTAAGTGTAGATTGAAGTCCCCCCCCGATCACGAGCATACCCTCACGGAAGTCATCCACTTGCAACAGAACCCGTTCTAAAAATGTCACCTGGCCTTGGTTGGGGGTGTAGATGTTCATGAAGGTCATCGTGCAGTCACCCACCTTACCCTTTACCATCAAGAGGCGTCCCTCCTCTCCCGAGGACATGTCCAGTAAGTGCCACGGCACCGAGCGCTTAAGCAATATACTGACTCCCCGCGACTTTTTGTCAGGGGAGAGACTATGATACGTTACCGGAAAGTGGCGGTCTCGGAAAGAAGGAGCCCGCCCCTCTGCGAAATGAGTCTCCTGGAGGAAGCCCTGGAGCACGTGTGTCTAAGAAAGCTAGCTGGTGAACCGAAGTTCACAGTCCCTGTGGCACGATGGGCACTGCAGGGACTAACTAGTGGGGAAACGAGTCTGAGCAGGGCGGGTCAGAGCTCCGTGAGTCAGCAGTTATGCGGTAGGTGTAATACCTGAGAAGAACGGTGTGAGGGGAAAACCTTTCCCAACTATGGAGGGTGTGTCTGTGTTGGAGGACAAGGAGAGGGACCCTGTCCCGTCGGCTGCGGGGGTGGATGGGGTATGAGATCAGTCTCTGGAATCCCCTGGGGTCTCCGGCCATCAACGGGGAAGAATACCTGATTCCCGGGGTGACTGGGCCTCTGCAAATCCCTCTCAACCCCCATTCCCCCCCACTGGCCTCCACCCCAGGCACACACACCCCGCCGGCAAGGGGCCACTAGTAACGGTGAAGGGGCATGCAATAATGCCTAGGGCCCAATAACTCTATAAACACGTAGAAATAGGCTTAAGATCATTTAAAAAAAAACATAAACATTAGCAAAAGGAATGAACAACCAGCTCATGGTCAAACAGGGGTGCCGGAGCCCCGGCACTCTCTGCAAGCCTGAGTACAGGACATATGCCAGCTAGAGATCGTGGGTCAGGGCCTGGCCGTCCGCAAACAAGCCACTAGGTAAGTATGCTAACGGAGCTGTGCCGGAGCTCGGGGTTGGTCCGGGAGAGATCGTTGTGGAAGGATACAAACGTAGGGCCGGTTGGTATGGCCGGGGACGCGGATGTAATTGAGGTGGATCAGCGTATGAGGACCATCCACAGTCTGAGAGTGCTTGTAGCCGGATGGATCGTCTGCTCGGGAAGACAGGCCGGCCGGGAAGGTAGAGGGGCCAAATATCGACATCTTTTTCAAAGCTCAGCAAAATCGGGTAGGCCACTGGGCCCGGCGGGGCTTCGGGGACACCGGGGCATCATCAGGGGGGGGGGGGAGCCAGTCCGGCAGTCGTACCTGGAGTAACTCGCATAGGCCTGGCACATCAGCCGGGGTCCGGACCGTGTACGAGGCACCCTCCTTGCGGACGTGCAGGCGGATCGGGTATCCCCATCTGTAGGAGGCGCCGGCCTGGAGAATCACCGAGAGGAGAGGCCGAAGCAAGGCCCGGCGCCGTAGGGTGTTGCGTGAAAGGTCAGGCAGGACCTGTAGGGCCGCCCCGTCGAATTCGACTGGTTTCTTCAGCCAGGCCTGGAGCAGGATGTCCACCTTCATGGAGTAGTATTGAAGCCGGCAGACGACATCTCGTGGGCGGGATGCGTCCGTAGACGGTGGGCCTAGAGTGCGGTGCACCCTGTCAAGTAGTATGGAGTATGGCGGATAGTTCAGTAAGGCCTGAAACTCCTGCGGGACATCGGACAGTTGTTTGCGGGTCGGGTATGGGTCCGCATCTGTGGAGTCCGAGTCGTATATCCGAGGAGAGCGTGTCTCGGAGCGGTGCTTGCTAGGTGTTGGAGAAACGGAACGGGCATTGCCTCGTGGCGTGCGCGGGAGACGGGGCTCGGACGCCATGTTGGACCGCGGCCTGTTCCGCGTTGAGGTAAAAAAACTGTTGCAGAGAAGGGGTTCCCCGCTGTGAAGCTGGCGTGCCCTCGTTCTTGCGTTTGGACATTGTTTGTGACCCGAGTTGGGGTGGTATAAGTTGGTATAATTAGTGTTTAGTTAGCAAACCCCACGGAGCTCTCTGAGTTTGCTGCTTACTCCGCCCCATGGTCATGTTATTGATGTACACACCACATCTCGTCATAAAGCATCATCATGCCTGATGAAGTGACCCTGACTGTGTCCCGCCACAAAGGGACCAAATGACTCGTCACGTACACTGTACGTGACAAGTTATTTGCTGCTTTAGAGGGCTGGTAACCGCTGAGAATCTGCGGTTACCATTCATTAATGGATGCCTCAGTATAGAGGCATTCATTTAATGAAAGGGTTAACCTTTTTCAGACACCCGATACCTTAATATTGGGTGTCTGAGGAGTCAAAGCAGAGCGGACACACATGATGGCAAAAGCCAGCATTCTGACAGCTCGTATAGATCTAGAGATATCTCTCTCTCTGATCGTATACTGGCTTTTTTTTTTTCTTTCACTTTCAGGAATAGATGCATAATGTTTGTATTCCTGAAAGAAGAATGTTTCAGTTTTCTGATGTTGGAACATTCAGAAAACCTTTAGTGACAGCTGAATCTTGAACTGCTGCAGGATTAGTGTCACTAACTTATTATTGGCGGTTCTGAAGTTTGAAGCAGCCTGATAATAACCAAAAATGTATTAATTTATCAAGCAGTAATAGTGAGATTGATTCACAATGACTGCTTGATATAATTAAATTAAAAAAAATAAAAAGTTTTAAAAAAATAGTGAAAA